ACGAGGCTGCGCGCAGGCCGGGCGAGGCAGCGACGGTTTGGCACTCTGGAAGTTATCTTCTGGACGACGCATATCGATCAGACAGGCTTCCAAAGAGAGTAATTGTTCCTGGGACGCAGCTGACACTACCATAGCATGAAACTCCAAACCATCCATTCGAAGCATGAGCTTATAACGACCTGCGCGTATGTTAAGCTCCTTCTTCGACGTGAACTGCCAATCGCGCCAGTGCTCGCGGAGTCTGCATAGAAAGTTTGTGTACGCACGCATGGACCGATACGTTTTACACTGCCCAACATACCGTGCCCGAAAACCAAGCTGACAGACATATCCATAGGACGAAGAGGTACAATCGCCAAACACTGCTTGCATCTGAAGGCGGATGAGTTGTACCAGAGCGAGCGACTTCAGAAAACCGGCCGACGACGTACAAAAAAGTGCACGTTGAATTTCAGGCGGAAGGGAGCACATTATACGTTTAGCTTTCCAAGTTTGTTTTCGCCCCCCAAGGGCAGCACACTGAATTTTAAGCAAATTGACGCCGATTGGAACAGATGCTAATACAAGGTACGCGTGCTGTGTGTGTAAGCGACCATGGGTCTGCTGTACACCGAGAAGTTCACGCTGTATGTGTTGAAGGGAAGTAGAAAACGCATGCGACGGTGTAGGAGCAAGCAGGTTCCACAATATTCTATGCCATATGTCTCTTAGCTCAGCGGGGCATTGCATTGCAGGCCCAACCAAGAGTTGAGCAGGAAGCTGAAGCTGGCGAGAATGGGCCCCGACTCTGCGAACGTGTCGGGAGAGGCTCGAGACGAATGTGTGTCGATCTGCTTATACTAGATGGTCTCGATGTTCAAGATACCCCTGGAACTGTATGTCCGAATGGTCAAGCAGAGCACTGTTTGCCCCCGCCGGGGCCACGAAACCGGAGGGGAACACAATGATGCATAAATGTACATGTGCGGGTAAAGCATGTGTTGGTAGGTAGATGGTGGAGGGGTTGCGTCGGCAGCTTCGGCCAAGTCCATATGTCCACCGTAACACTTACATGAAGAGGATAGCACATGTACGACGGCGATTTTCAATACATTTCCAGGCAAATATCTCAGGATTGACCCACTTAAGTGTGCAGCGAAAGGCTTTAAGCACCGGCCTAATCCAATCCTGAACCGGAGAAGTCACCACCCACCAAGCCACCCCAACCCAATCCGAAGGCTCAAATTTACCCTCGATTTCCAGTGTGGGGGGGTCGGGACACATCGAAAAAACACATGTGGAACCCTTACCCCCCCAAACCCGAAATTCGGGTCTTCGGGTTGGGTTGGGGTGGTCTGGTAGGTAGTCAAGAAGGCACTACGGATGCACATGTTGCTGCTGCGCGCTGTCACCCCCGAGCCCTGCACAGGCGCTGGCCAGACTTTTCAAACCACTGTTTAAAAGTCCAGGCCCCCTCGCACCCTGGCGATTCGAAAGAATCCAAAAAGCGCAGAGCGAGGACTCTTCAGACCCGAATTTCGGCACCAAGAACGTTTGCTAAATGTTTGCCCCTTGGTGTCGCATCGATTCTATAGTCAACGGCTGAATTGACCCGAGACGTTGAACTACACAGCGCTCGCACAGACACGCGCACGCACACGCACGCACACATACGCACACACACACACACACACGCATACACACACACGCACACACGCACGCACGCAAGCACACAAACAGACACACACACAGACACGAAAAACACATCTAGATATCAGCCATACGTTTCACATTTTTACCAACGTACAGGTGATAGGATATGCGTGTGCATATCAGAGTGAGGGGGCCGAACGGTCATTCATTGTCTTTGGGTGCTTGGCTGAAGTGAGAATCCGTGGTGCGCATTCTGCTCGTTGCGTTGTTGTTGTAATTGTTGTTGTAATTGTTGTTGTGATGGTTGTTGTTGTTGTTGCTTTCGTTTTCGTTGTTGTTGTTGTTGTTGTTGTTGTTGATGTTCGTTGTCGTCGTCCCCCCCCGCGACCCACCCCGCGACCCTCCCCGCGACCCACCCCGCGATCCACCCCGCGACCCACCCGCGACCCACCGGCGACCGATCGGCGCCTGCGGTGGGCGCCGATCGGTCGCGGGTGGGCTTCTCCAGAGTCTCGCAGACTGCCGCCGTCCCCACCGCCCCCTCACACTTACCCGCATTTGTGGGGTGCTACGTATATATATACACATATACATGTGTATAGATGTATTAATATACTTATACTTATATATATACATATATATATATATATATAGATATGCGTGTACATGTATATATATATATATATATGTGCACAAGGCTGCACACATTCAAGCAGTCCCCCTACCCGTAGGAAGCGCATCTGGCACAACTTGCGGCCAGTGCGCTGCCCGGGCACGGTGCGCCCTGGGAGAGCCAAGGACAGCCCAGGAGGGCCAAAGATCTCCCCCGAAGGAGACCTCAAGGACTTCAAGGAGACCTCAAGGACAAGGAGATCACTCCCCCCCCCCCCCCAAGGAGACCTCTAGGAGATCGCCCTCCCCCCCCCCCCCCCAGGAGATCGCCCCCCCCCCCCCAAGGAGATCGCCCCCCCCTCCACCCCTCAAAGGAGATCGCCCCCCCCCCCCCCCCCAAAGGAGATCGCCCCCCCCCCCCCCCCCCCCAAGGAGACCTCAAGGACTTCCAAACCGAGTCAAACACGGCCCATTATTTCTTGTCTTGCCGATCGGCGCGGGCCCTCGGACCCCTCCCCCCCCCCGTGGAGTAGATCTCGGCTGTTTCGGGCGCCTGTTTCGGGCAGGTGGGGAGCCTCCTCCAGAGGTCGCGCTGCCGCAAACAGTCGCATTAAGCAGAGGTCCGGAGCCAGACCACCCCCCCTCCCCTCCTTTCGACTCCTTTCGAGGTTGGACAGACCTCCTACCCTGACACGTCGATTAGTGAATTGTCCGTTTTCGGTTCTCGAGAGGGCGCCGCGGCCGTTATTTTCCAGGCTCGCGCCCGCCAGGTTTGGGCCCGAGGTCGTTTTCACTAAACCACGTTTTGCTAAAGGGAGGTCTGTCCATCCCCGACCCTTTCCGCCCAAAGTCGAAACGCCGAATGAGAAAACGCTCACATGGGCCGCAAGACCAGGCAGCATTCTCCCTCGACGGCCAAGGGGGCCCGAAACGGACCCGGTGAGGTTCCGAATTGGCACGTTTGATTGTCGGCATTTGGACCCGCCATCTCCGCCATCAGAGCCTGACGACGGCCCAAGATCCAGACCCCCTCGAGTCATGAAACCTTCACGGCGGCAAGTTTTGTTGCTACTTTCGGCCTCCAGAGGCCCTTGCGGGGCTTCGGGACCGTCAGAAAACGACCGGGGAAGTGGTCGAGATCTCTGGGGGTCGACGTTGGAAAAATCATTAGGCCCCCAAGCTCGCCCAAATACGCCCGGCAAGATGCCTCAGATGGCCCACAGTACGCTCGCACCGCTGCGGTAGAAGCCCCTGGAGTTGATTCATTGTACTTCTCACGCGTATTCCCTGCGCGCGCCTGGGCGGCCCAGGGGGGCCCAAGCAGCCCAGGACGGCCAGATTCCTGAAGATTCGGAAGGAATCCTGCGGCATTGCTCTGGGATCCTGAAGATCCTTAAACCGAAGGAGAAAATGTAAACATAAGTTGGTGGCGCTCCGCGCGGAGTTCTTGTATCCGCGGTGGGCCTTCCTGGCGGCGCCTCTGGCGCCGACCCTGGCGCAGAAGGGGGTCCGGCGCATATCCAAGAAATCCGCGCGGAGCGTTTCTCGACGCCACGCCACCCCAGAATTCCCACGGGCTATTGAGGATTTCTCAAGATCCCCTTTCCTCAGGGGCTTTCTGTGGAATCCCTTGGATCCTGCTGGTGTCCTCAAGATTCTGTCGGATTCCTAAGACTTCCGAGGTAACCCGAGGAGTCCTGGGTAACCCTGAGGTGTCCTGGGGAACCCTGAGTTATTACTGAGGAGTGCAAAGACGCCCGTCAGGAATCCGAAGGAAACCTGAGGAGACCTGGGAGGGATCAGGAGACATCCTGATCCCCCTCAGGACATCCGGAGGGATCAGGAGACATCCTGATGAACCTGGATGGCTCCTGAGGAGCCCACCGAAATTCCGAGGCTTCCAGGAAGAGGTTGAAGAATCCTGCGGACGTGTGAGGAAACCTGTGAGCTCCCTAAGCCGAAGCCCCCGAAGCCCCCAAATTCTTTCCCCCACCCTGGTCTCCACACGCCCCCCCGAGCATCCAAAGCCCCTGAGCCCAAATAGCACCCTTAGCTCGGTAAGCCCCCTAAGCACCATGAGCCCAGAAAGCCTCCTCAGCCACATAAGTCCCCTGAGCCACGTAAGCACCGTAAGCACCTAAGCGCTCCAATCACCCGATCCACCCCAACCACACCAACCTCAACCACCCTCAGCCCCCTAAGAGCCCTAAGCATCCTGAGTGCCTTAATCATCCTGGCACCGCAAGCACCCTAAGCACACTAAAAACTCTAAACACCATAAGCACTCTAATACCCCTCGGCATCATACGCACCCTAAGCACAATACGTATTATGTGCTCTGAGCCTTCTGAGCATCTGAATCACCCGAACCGCTCCAAGGTCCCAAATATCCCAAAGCACCCCGAGCATCCATCTGAAGCACCCTTCACCACACAAACCTCCTAAGCCCCCAGAGCCCCCATAAGCACCTCGAGCGTTCCTAAGCCCCACATCCCCGCCCAAGCCCTATAGGCCCACTGAGCCCCCAGAAGCCCCCCTAAGTCTTCTAAGCTTGCGAAGCCCTCATGAGCCCCCTAAGCAAGCTAAGTCCCATAATCAGCCCTCTAAGTCCCCGTACGCCGTCTAAGCCCAATGAGCTGCCCAAGCCCCCATAAGTCCTTATACGCCAACTAAGTTCCATGAGTCCCCTAAGCCACCCAAGCCCCCGAATCCCCCCAACTAGCCGAGGCTCCATAAGTCCACAAAAGCCGCATAAGTTTCCTGTTGAAGTGTAATGAGTTGAGCTGTGATTCAATGGCGTTCAGCTGCTCGTCCACGCTCATATGATCCGGTAGCCTCTTGGTTGATGGAATGGAGCATCTCACCTATTTGCTGTTTTTTGGCTGCCACCCCAGAGGCGCGTGAACTGGTTTCCCGGCCGACAGTGAAAGGGCGTTCTCATTTGATTTTTCCGTTCGGCTGTCTTCCGCGCATTCTTTCGCAGCGCCAGTGAGTTGGTTGTCTAAAGAGCGATAGCAGGCGAGTTTCGTTCAGCGCGACGGGCGATGCTGGTCTGAGCACGCCTGCAGCTGCGACGATCCAGCTGCTTCGTTGGAGCCGGGACCTTTAGGTTTCCCGCTGTCGGGGAATGCATCTCGATGGTTGTGGTGCCAAGCCCTCGCCGGACAGCAGTCTATTTTCTAGACATTTTTCCTTGCCGGTGTGCTATCGATCACCACCATCACCACTACTGCAGAGAAAAGGCGGCTGTTAGACAGCGCAGGAGGTCCTGGCAAAACGGTCCCTCTCGGTGAGTTTCCTGCTCTCAGCGATCTCACGGCCCCTCGGTAGGGCGGATCCGCTGCGAGCAACGAGGTCCTTGCTTTCATAGAGCAGAGAAGGTCCCTACCCTCTGTGGGCTCACGGCCCCCTTGGGGGGCCAACCCGCTGCAAGAAACCAGGCCCGCCCTGACCCCCAAACCGCCCCGCCGGCGGCTCCCAGCGCGCGCCACCCCAGGCCCGCGCGTCGCCGTGCAGCCCGCCGTCGTCGGCATCGTCGGCATCGTCGTCGTCGTCGTCGATGTCGACGTCACGTCGACGTCGACGTCGACGCCGACGCCGACGCCGACGCCGCGTCGTTGTCGTCGGCGGTGTCGTCTTCGCAGCCGCCGCCGTCGTCGTCAAGGGGACGGCGGCGGCGGAGCGCCGGCGCGGCGCCAGACCTTGCGACCTTTGCACACGCACATTGCAAACAATCACGAGTGGAGCCCTGACCTCAAGCCGTGGCGAAGCGTTCTGAATGTTTAATAGGCCCAGCAAAGAATGGTCTAAGAACCTGTTGCAGTTTGCGCGGGATGTTCTTATTTCGATCAGGGGCAATATCACCACATACACATCGGTACGACATGTGGTCATAATGATTATGCGAACATTAGCAGGCTGTGATCTACTGATCAATCTATTTACGCTGCCGCGCGACCCCTCCCCATGCACATTGTCCCCGTCCGTGCGCGCGTTTGAGCAGCATGAGGCACCGTCTGCGCGTCGCCTCGCGCGTTATTGTCGACCTGCGCATCTGCATTTGACTTGCGGTTTGCCGCGCTGGTTGATGCGCCGATCCAGGACGTGGAAAAAAGTCATTGGGGCCACAAACTGATTGGACGATGATGTGCAGGGTGTGACCGTCCAACCCATAGCGACGCGCCACTTATACCCGACGAAATCCCCAAACAACAATGTTTTGGGGCGCGCGCGCGTAGATTATTGAGTGTTCTTCACCATGCCATTCGCAATCTGGAGTGACATTGAAGAGGCCCGCAGCATCGACATCAAGCTGGAAAGCGCGCAATTCCTCGAACCATCGAGCGGCACCAGACTTCTCGAGAGCCGTTCTTCAAGCAGTTGCGAAGCGTCTCTTGGCTCGCCTATAGGCCTACCAAAGAATGTTGTCAGAACCTCTTGTGGTTTGTACGAATTGTTCTTGGAACATTTCTGGTTGAGACTGCCTTGTTTTAACACATCGGGCGAATGCTCGAAGAACATTGCTTTTCTTCTTAGAACACTTGCTGCGTTCTAAGAACACGTCGTGGTAGGACTATGGGAATGGCGGGACGGTCGCTCCCTGCTCAAATTCTGGGACCCCCGTCGCGCAGCGGTGCCGGATCCTCCCGGTGTGCACCCCGCCCGCGCTCGCCCCTGCCGAGTTGGGGGCCCTGGGCTCCTCGCCCCCCATGTCGCCAGTCCTCGGAAACTGGAACATCTACATTACCAGTGGCGGGTTTTGTTTCAATCCCAGGGCTGTTTTTGAGGGTCGGGGACGACGTCGGGGCGGTGCGGTGTATGCTCCTCCCCCGTTTTCCAAGGGAGACAACGAAACATGTGTACACCAGGATCCCGTATACACCAGAATCCGCGTGCCTGTGCGAATGTCAGCGCAGGGTCGGAAGAAGCGTCGGTGTGTAGAGCTCGTGTCCCTAAGTCCTCCTCCTGCCCCGCCACCCTCGGGTAGCCAGTTCGGCCTTGACCGTGGTGGTGGTACAGTGGAACCGAAGAAGGAAGAATGCCATGAACGTGACCTCTTGGCGCTCCGCGCGGATTTTCTGGATCCTTGCTGGGCCCCGCTTGCCTCCAGGGTGCCCTGGGTCTCTTGTGTTTCGATGTTTTCGCAACTGGAAAGCGTGACCTTCCCGCACCAAGAATCGGTGGACGTCTCTGGGCTGGGTTCCTCGTGGAAGGCTTCTTGTGGTCGAGCTCCTATTGTAGCTGTTCCCACAGAGCGTTGGATCACGTCCCGCGATGTTGACAGTGCGACGTGGAGCATCCACGGAGAGAGAGCGCTTCCTCGAGGTATCGAAGACACCTACGACAAATCACCGCCGCCCCCTGCTCTCATTGGAAGCGCCTATGTGGCCGAAACTTGTGCCAGATCGGGCCATGTGTTCCCCCAGCTGTCGTTGAAACCTTTCGGGAAACACGTGAGGAAGATGAGACTTGGGAGAAGAAGGAAGAGGGAGTAGGAGGAGGAGGAAGAGGGGGAGGATAAGAGGGAGGAGGACGACTCTTGGAAGCCTCTTGGGGCAATCTTAGTGTCTCCTGAGAGCTTCCCGGGGGCCTCTTGGGAGCCTTTGGGGGCCTGTTGGGAGCCTTTGGGGGCTTGTTCGGATCTGCTTTGGCCGTCTTCGGGCGTTCCTGGCCCGTCTGACGCCGTCGGACGCCGTCTGGGAGGCCTCTCTGAACCGACTTGGGCCCTTCTTGTGGCGCTACACGGCCGTCTTGGTCTTGGAGGTCATCTTAGGCGTCTGGAGGCCTCTTGGGCCGTCGTGGGGCCATCTTGTTGCCGTCCTTGAGGTTCCTTGGGCCGTCATGGGGCCATCTTGGAGGATTTTGTGGCCATGTTAGAGCGATATTGGGGGCCTCTTGGGCTGTCTTGGGCCGTCGGAAGGCCGAAAAGAAGTATATAAATAACAAAAGCTTCCAAGCACCCTCAGACAATGAATTATATTGGCCGCCTCTTGGAGGCCCTTGTGGCTGTCGTGGGCCATCTTGGAAGCTTCTTGGGCGAACTTTGAGCACTCTTGGACTCTCTTGGGTCGTCTTGGAGTTCATCTTGGACCATCTTGGGCGAACTTGAGGGCCATCTTGGTTGGGCCATCTTGGAGCCATCTGGAGCAGGATAACCTCTGCAACAGGGTCGAACGCAGCCTACTGGGTGGCCGGCGGCATCGGCCGAAGCCCCAGGCGGAGTTCTCTTGAAACAGCCAGTGCGAAAACTAAGCCGTAAGACGTTCAGCACGCCGGGCACCCTTGTGGCAAGACCACAGGGGGCGGCGGATCTCATGGCCTTCGGCCCATCCCTCACCGTGCCTGGGCTGTGGGTGTGCCCAGTGGACGTTCGTTGGGCTCTCGCGGGGGGCCTTTCGGGGGCCTCTCAGGGCGGCCCAAGGAGTGCCCAAGACGGCCTCTGAATGGGTCAGAACCATCCTTTAGACGCCAGGGAGGGATCCAGGAGGACCTCCAGCTTCCGCCCCGCACTCTCCGCAGCCACGTCGGCCCTAGCCACGTTCGGGCTCGCAGAGGCCTTTCGAGCGAGGCTCTCCTCGCAAGTGCGTCTGCAGCGCCGCCACTCGCGTCAGTAGCTTGGGCGGCGAGACTCCGCGGGGAATGGCGCCCGCCAGGGCCTGGCAGGCCTTGCCCAGCGGAGCGCGCCATGGTGAACCCGCGGGGGCTGGCCAGTTGCGCGGCACACACCGCGTGTTTCACGTTGATTTTTTCCTCGGCGCCCTGCCGGTTGTCAGACGCACGATTCGCCCGCGGGGGAGCGGGGGGTCATGCGGACGCACTGCAGGTTCTGGCAGGCGCCCCGAGCCATGTACACACGGGCAGCCACTGGGTTGCGGCAGTTGTGCCGGATGTATTGCGGAGCGTCGAGCAGGCAGCGTTCATTACCGCAGGCAGATCAGTAACTTTCGCAGTTACAGCTGTTGGCGTGCCTCCGGTGAACGCTGGATCGGGCTGGTGGATGCCGAACTTCTGAGCCTCCCAGAGAATCAGCGCACGGGTTGGGTGGTGGCACAGGCCATGCATGAATGCCACCGAGAGACATCTCTAGCGCAAGCGACGGGTTGGCGCCTTTTTCATGACCGGATGGCACCAGCTGGCTTGGGCCAGCCCGTGTTGGACAGGCCGCCGCCCGGGCAGGCTATTGCCGCATTTGCGGCGGCAGGAGCTGGTCGAACTCTTCTGGGCGAAGCAGAGCAAATTGGCATGTTGGCGGCAATGGGCAGATCTCCGCCGTCCTATATATATATACATATATATATATATATATGGGGCGCGTTGCTGGGCTGCGTCCGTCTGCGAGGGAAGGCGACGTCATCTGGTTCGCGGCGATGTTCCGCCAGTGCGGCACCCTGAAAGCATGCTTGGCAAACCTGCGTTGGGTGCACCAGCTCCTTCGGCTCAACGTCTCTGGGACACGGGCGCGGCGAGGCAGGTCCGCAGGGGCCAGGCGAAGCAGGCAGATCCACCGCGGCAGCGCCTCGCGAGGCCGCCTCGCGTTGCAGGTTGGGGAGTTTCGACGCCTCGTCGCTCGCGCAGAGGCGTGAGGAGTCCCTGAGCAAGCTGCCACGTTCTCTCTGGGCCGGTTGCGTCTGTCCCGCATGCCGTCAGAGCGCGTCCCGTTCGAAATCAATGGGGAGCATTAGCAAACTGCGCTGGAGGCCGTCGGTTTCAGCATCGCCCTGTCCTGGCGGAAGCCTGACTGGCGCCCTGCCGTCATCTGGCGCGAGCGTCGTTGCCGGCAGTCGAGGCGTCTGTTGCGCGTGCTGCGCCATCTCGCGCCGCTTATTTCCAAAGCGCGCCGGCAGGGTCGGCGGCGCGCGCTCGCGCGGCCAGCGCAACAGTTCCTCCAGCTTACGAGGCAGCGCGCCAACCAACCAGGCATTGCGGGCGAATGCATGCAGGGGGCCCACGCGCTGAGAGGAGGCGTGGCTCGGGACATTGTCGACGCCGGGGGTAGCCTAGCGACGTTGCTCCGAGCCGGCGATTGGGCGAGCTTGGCTTCTGCGCAGCATTTGGGTGACCAGCATGTAGGAGAGGAAGCGGCTCTGTCGCGGCTGATAGACCATTCGGATTTGGAGTGAGGAGCATGGGAACATTGATAAATTCGGCGCTTCCCCCTTCCCGTGGCCCGGGCGCCTTGCCGCATCATTCGCGGCCGCGAAGAGATCCAGGATATCCCGCGACAATCGCGACGATGGGCCGCGCAGGCGATCGCCTCGCGATGGGCGCGGAGCTA